TTATTTTATATATCTTTTGATTTGTTGTGTAAACATTTGTCTTTCCGGGTCCCAAACAGAGATCTAAGTTTACAAATTACATCAATGACATTTTCAACTGAATATTTATTGAGGAAAAAATAAACACATTCTCGGATTTCGATATTATTATTATAATTATTATTATTATTATTAATATTTCCTTTGATTTCTGATATATACACATTTTCTTCCAAATTACGCAGTTATTAATAAGAAGAATTTAAATAAATACATGCAAAATTTCACTGCTCTAGCGTAACTCCTTCAGAGTCTAGGAACTTTTTAGCTGCATCCAGGAATTTTAGTAGGTACATGTGCTTATTCGTATATTTTTATGTGTTTGTGATTGCTTGTAGATGCTTTTATCTGTATATACATATATCTGACATAATTTTCTTTTGTGTGGTGTTTTTTTTTTATATATATCTTCATTTTTTCTTACTTTATTCTATTTTTTTGAAATTATCCTTCCTCTATTTCTTGTGTGAATATACGTCTTTGTATTTGCGTGCAATTTATGAAACATCACTTTATTTTCCGTTTCTGGAAAATTTTCCATACCCCGTTAAAAAGGATTTTTATAAAGATAAAGGAAAGAATATAAGTAATCAACAAATGGAAAAAGGGAGAGGAAAGAAAAGAAAGTCAAAAGAAATCATAAGAAATAAAGCCTACTTTCAAGAGAATAGACCAAAAAAAAAAAAGGCAAAAAAAAGAAGAGTATATTGAAAATTACATAGATATAATGGAAGAGAAAAGTTCAGAAAATAATAAATGAGAAGTTGTTAATACAATTTAAGCCAATGAAATTGCGCTGAAAAAGAGAATTCAAATTTGAACGGAATGAAACGTCACACATTAGCTACAATGTCGCGTCTCAAATTTTATGGCATTTTTAATGAAATTTTTCAGCAGTCTACAAATTTCCAGAGAGACCATTGAAAGTAGAAGACAAATATTCGAAGAAAATTATTCATAGAACGTAAATAAAAGACACATTCAGAAGCAATACAATACTTAACAAAAACGGCCTTACATTATAAATTAGAATACAAAATCAATTTTGAACTTTTATATTTTTATATTAATTTTAAATTAAAAACTATTATCAATACCACAAAAGAAAAAAAGAAAAAAAAAAGAAGCCAATTCACGGCTAAGCAGTAATTTACCAATACTAACCAATACCTAAAGCTAGAATAAATCACTAATGATAATATTAAAGTATTTATAGAAAGATAATATAACATAAAGGGAGTGATTATTGAGCTATGAAGTTTAGATTGTAAGGTTAATTCATTAATATGTTTACAATTTACTGTAGTTTCATATCTTTGATTTAATAATATGTCACTATACAAGAACTTAATTATTTCCATTTTCTCCTGCAGACAGAGGAAGCACAATTCGTTCACCGATTTGGAGATTCTAGCTTATTTGAGAATATTCCATTTAACTTTAGTTCTTTTGCTTGTCCTCTGACCTTGTTGGTCTCCTAATACTGTACAATTTAACGGCACACCGCGAAATTGATATTAAGGACATCGGGCTGTATAGAGATGACGGGCTCATGGTGGTGAGGAGTTCTACTAGTTTTAAGATTGAAAAAATCAGAAAAATTATATTTAGTGAATTTAAGAAACTAAACTTAAAGATAACTGTCTCTTCTAATTTGAAAAGGGTTAACTTCCTCGACGTAACTCTAGACTTACCAGACAATACATACCAACTTTATAGAAAACCAAATGCTAACCCTTTATACATACACCCGAAGTCAAACCATCCTCCATCAATAATTATACATATACCCTCATCAATAGAAAATAGAATTAGCCTTAACTCCGCAAACAGGGAAATATTCCAAAAACATAATAGCTTCTATAACACTGCCCTAAAAAATAGTGGTTATAAAAATGCTAACATTAACTACAGAGAAAATTACACTGGACATAGGAAAAAAAACAGGAAAAGAAATATCATATGGTACACCCCTCCGTTCAACCAAAGGGTTAGTATTAAACTAGGACAGAAATTCTTAGCTCTAATTAATAAACACTTCCCCACCAATAGTAAGCTTAGTAATATATTCAATAAGAACACCCTAAAATTGAACTACAGCTGCTCTGATAATCTTGAACGCATAATAAAAAAACACAATAATAAGATCTTGAACAAACCCCCATGCCAAAACAGTATTAATAAAAACTCTACACTAAAATCAGATGATAATAGGGAAAAATTATGTAACTGTAGAAACCCAGAAGACTGCCCATTAGAAAATAAATGTTGTATTAATTCAGTGGTATACCAATGTACTATTTCATCCACAGAGAGCCCTAGCACTAATATGATATACATTGGGTCCACGAAGAATAATTTTAAAGATAGATGGAGGCAGCATAAGTGCTCCTTTAATAATATAAACAAAAAAAACCAGACTTCACTATCAAAATATTTTTGGCACTTGAAGGAAAACAAATAAGACACCAAAAAGTTAAATGGAAAATTATTGACAAGGCTAGAATATGTAAAGCTTGGGATGACCCATGCCCTTTGTGCCTCCATGAAAAATTACACATTATTAAACTTCTAAATAATAATAATCTATTAAATAATAGACACGAAATAACGGTTTTTTGTAGGCATCATCAGATTTTTTGGTTTGAAATAAAAAATTTATATAACTTGTTTAACAAATAACCCAATCATCAGATTCATAGTAGAAATTATTAACTACAAACTTGCATACAACATAACACCCTTCATAATACATAGCCCAAATTAGTAGTTTAAATACCTTACCTAAAAAAAGATAACCCTTTATGAAGTCGTCAAAAAACAAACGCCACGAAAGTTTTTTCTTTTTATAAGCACAATTCCTTTCATAATAAAATAAAATAAAATAAATAAATAAATCTCCATAGACAAGCCAACTTGACGAAAGCTTAATACATCTTCGTTTTTTTTTAACACCCCACCTTCCCCCGACTTGACACCTTGAAAGTATCTCTATACCGCCACTCATCATTAACACCCTACACTCATACCCATTTTAGACAATTCGCCCTAACTGTTACCATGGTGATTTTGATTTCAACTTTTAAAACAAGTAAATTTCAGATATACGTTATTCCAACAAAAAACTCGCTTGAAGATGGAACGGAGCCCTTTTTAATTTCAACTCAATTTAATTTAAAGGATTATATTGAAGTTTTCGGCTCTTGTTTTGAAACATGAGACCTCTTATGTAGCGATTTGGAATCATATTTTTAAATAAATAATTATATATATATATATATATATATATATATATATATATTTAAGGAGGCCCAACATCTAATAATTTTTTCTGTTTCTCTGCTGCATGTAAAGCCTTTGGTCTTACACTTAGCATAAAGAAAACTGAAGTTGTGCACCAACCTTGTCCTACTCCGAAGCAATTGTGTGGTGTGAAACAAAAACCACCAGTCTACAAATTTCCAGAGAGACCATTGAAAATAGAAGACAAATCCCTGAACTATGTAAAGTCTTTCACCTATCTTGGTAGCAAAGTCATTTACAGTGGAACTTTAGATGATGAAATCATACATCAGATTGCTAAGGCTACCGGTGCTTTCGGCAAACTTCGCCATCGCTTGTGGAATGAGCGGGGTATTCGAATGGATACGAAAATTCGTGTTTACAGAGCTGTTTTACTTGCCATCCTTTTGTACGGCTCAGAGTCGTAGACTCCATACAGGTACCATATACGCCAGCTGGATGTCTTCCATAAAAGCTGTCTGGGTGCAATCTGTGGATAACCTTCAAGATAGGACATCTAACGTAGACCTGTTTAACAAGTGTAATATTGGAGGAATCGAGACTTTTCTCATATAGTCTCAGTTACAGTGGACTGGTCATGCCTTGAGAATGTCTGATGACAGGATACCCAAGATCCTAATGTACAGCCAGTTAGATCAGGATTACAGGAATGTAGGTCGCCCATGGCTAAGATACAAAGGCAGCTGTATATACCTCATAACTCCCTTGAGCGCTTAGCTTTTGAGCGGGTAGAATGGAGATCAACGTGTTTTAGTGGACACGGCATTTTTCAGTCTGCTTGTCTGAATCGTTTTCAAGAAGCGAGAGCAAGATCTAAAAGGTCAGCTAATCTATCAGTGATCTCATCCCACAATCCTTACTCTTGCTCCATATGCGACCTTCTTTGTAAATCACTAGCAGGTCTTAAGTGCCACGTAAGATTATCGCACAAAATTTCATAACTGAATCAATTGGTTAAAGTGTCGGATCCTCATACGTCGAAACCGAGAGGGGAGTTCATTACTATTACTAGTATTATATATATATATATATATATATATATATATATGATGGTTGGTTTCATTTCACACATAGCTCCTATTTATGATTATATATATATATATATATATATATATATATATATATATATATATATATATATATATATATATATATATATATAAGAAATGGACAAAGTCCGACAATTTATTTATTAAAGACATTTTTATGTTTGACGTTCTTTTATAGATACAAGTATTTAAGTAAATGCTCTGTTTATAATAAACAGTATTAAATAATATTTACCGGCCTGAATGTCCGAGAAATTTTCATATTCTGAACGTTAATCTTGTCTCCTGATGGAAAGTCATGTAATAATCGACTTCCATCTCGGATTCCCTAACGCAGAAAATGACCCATTTCTTAAAAAAACGATCACAGGCGATGAAAAATTGACTGTTTACAACAATGTAGAGCGAAAAAGCTCACGAGGTAAACGAAATAAGCCATCGCTAACCATTGCGTATCTTGTGTAATGGGAAGATCAGGCGTTGAATTTAGACTGACACTGTTCCCATGTCTACAGAAAAATGCTGAGGATGCCATGGACACAACACGTGAGCAATAACGACAATGTCAACAAAAAAAGGACACTTAGCAACAAGAAATAGCTGGGGCACAGGAAGTAGGAAGAGGAGGAGGGCAAGAAGAACAAGAAAAAGAAGAAGAAGAAGGATGAGGAGGAGGGCAAGCAGAAGAAGAAGAAGAAGAAGAAGAAAAAAAGGATGAGGAGGAGGACAAGAAGAAGAAGAAGGAGGGGGAGGGGAGGAAGAGAAGGGGAGAAGTGGGAGGACGAGAAGAAGAAGAAAAAGAGGGAGAAGGAGGAGAAAGAGGACAATGTGTAGAAGAAGAAGAAAAAGAAGGAGGAGGAGGATGAGGGCAAGAAGAACAAGAAGGAGGAGGAGGAGGGCAAGAAGAACAAGAAGGATGAGGAGAAGGACAAGAAGTAGAAGCAGGAGGAATAGAAGAGGAGAAGAAGAAGAAGAAAAAGAGGGAGAAGGAGGAGAAAGAGGACAAGATTTAGAAGAAGAAGAAGAAGAAGAAGAAGAAGAAGAAGAAGAAGGGGAGAAGAACTTTGAAATGGACCGGGCAAAGGTTGGAATTGAGTTATCGGAGTGCTGCCGTCTTCGATCAGGACAACATCAGGCCTTACAAGCATTTTTTATAATCCAAGCAGAAATTGGTAAGGCTTGGATGACCAACTCACCTGACCCTTGTATCTGTGGATCTGTACAAAATTCAGTAAAAAGGAAGAACTTTAATGTTTTTAGACGAGTACATAACCACTTTGAAAAGATGTAAAGACAGCAAAAGTTAGGAGAACAAAATGGCAAAGATGCTGATGAGTAAATCTAAGAAGAAGTAACGAAAAGAAGAAAGGGAATCACGGGGTGGGGGGAGAGTAAAAAAAAGCAAGCAGAAATGTAAAAAGGAAGAAGGAATGATAGCGAACTTTGTAGGTGATTAGCGAGTGCGATAATTACAAAGAGATATGAAGAGACTGCAATAGATAGATATGATCAGACTGATTGATAGATATGAACAGACAGACAGACAGACAGACAGATAGATAGATAGATAGATAGATAGATAGATATGAAGAGAATAATACATATGACCAGACTGATAGATCGATAGAAATGAACAGCATGATAGATAAATAGATAGATAATGATTAGACTGATTGATAGATATGTAGTGACTGGTAGATATGAAGAGTCAGAGATAAATAGATAGATAGATAGATAGATATGAACAGACTGAGATAGATAGATAGATAGATAGATAGAGAGAGAGAGAGATAGATAGAGAGAGAGATAGATAGATAGATATGAACAGACTGAGATAGGTAGATAGATTTTATAGATAAAGAAACTGAGATAGGTAAAGAGACTGAAATAGATAGATAGATAGATAGATAGATAGATAGATAGATAGATAGATATGAAGAGACTGAGATAGATAGATAGATAGATAGATAGATAGATAGATAGATAGATAGATAGATATGAAAAGACCGAGATAGATAGATAGAAAGATAGATGGATATGTAGGAACGGACAGATATGAAGAGACAGAGATAGATAGATATGATCAGACTGATTTTATAGGTATGAAGAGACTGATAGATATGAAGAGACTGAGGTAGATAAATATGAACAGCCTGGTAGATTTTGAGATAGATAGATAGATAGATAGATAGATAGATAGATAGATAGATGCGAACAGACTGATAGACAGAAATGAAAAAAAATGATCACACTGAGGAAAAAATAATTGATAGAAACAATCCTATGAATGCATAATTAACTTGATGAGAAACTTTAAATTAGGGCAAAATCAAGGAGGAAGGAAGGAAGGAAGGAAGGAAGGGAGGGAGGTAAGCAGGAAGGAATGTTATACAATGGACAGAAAGTTTCAGCAAAATACAGACGTCGTTTCTCTGTGTGTGTCGATTCGATACGGAAGTTATGGCAGCAGACGGTGACTGCGCGATGCCGTAGATAGCAAGGAAAACGAAAGCAAAAAAACAAAACCCAAAACAACTCAATGACGTCATTCACTTTTGGGAAACACAAGTTCCAGTGTTTATAACTGATCCGTCGTTCGAGGCACCCCTCCCCTCAGCCTGACCCTCCCTGGCTGTCTCCACCTCTACATTCATCCTCATCTCCAGTCTGTTCGCCGCCTGACGCCTTTCCACCCGACATCTAACTTGGGCGGAGACAGCACCTCTGTTGACATTCGACGGTCGCGGAACGGGGTGGGTCGGGCGTGGCAAAGTGTGGGCAGGGCTTGGGAAGAATCTGTTAAAAGATCCGGCCTACAGGAGCAAAAAAAAAAAAAAATTTTTGTAGATCACATATTTACGCAACAATTTACGCGCACTAAAGGATGAAGGGGTATCTATCAGTCAGTGCTTATATTTATACATTAAACGAGCATCTCGGATTTTAGAAGTACACTGAAAGAGTTGGGTTCAATGGGTCGTCAAAAACAACTTTTGATGTGGTCTGCCTCGTGCATGAAATTGGAAAAAATTTTGCGAATGTTGATATTTTTTAAATCATTTCGTACCAAGCAAGGCAATAAAGTCCCTAAGACGCAAAGGGTTATTAAGTGTGAGAGAATATGAGAAAAATAAAATATTATTCAGGAGAAAGATCAATAAAAAAAGAAAAGAAATGTAAATGCAATGCCAATCGTTAACTTCTGCCGTCTAAGGAAGATAACGATTGGCATTGCATTTACATTTTTAAAGATCAATGTTGACTGGAAAGGAAGAAATCTGCACAGGCGAGAAGTGCGATAGAAGAAACTGTTAGCATAGAACTTACGGTTACAGCTAGCCATTTCAAGTGTAACATGACGAGACCTAACTGCCAATCTAGTAGTACGCTTAAATTCATAAAATATCAAAGAGGAAAGCTCATTTGAATAATTAACATGGAAATATTTTTAGAAAAGACACAGAGAGGCTATGTTACAGCGGTGGGAAAATGACTGAAGCCGAGATGCCAGGTCAAGCCCAATAATATTGCAGATTCTTCTTTGAATTTCTTAGATAGTACAAGCAGGATCTACCGACTTGAAACATTGGCGTGGCACAATCTTTCCAACTTCCAGGTCTCCCCCTAGCCTTGTGCAATACTAAGTTTGCTAAGTACTGCAAATGGATTACCAACCCGTAATACTTCCTTGATGTGCAAGAGCGTAATATAGAAACAGCGAATCAAGTTCAAATTTCGGCCTTGTATCTTTTTTTTCTTTCTTTTTTTTTTTTTTTTGTACAGCGAGGTTCACTTTTTGCAAGGCTCGGGAGGCACTCGAGGTAGAGGATTAGAATTGGAGGTCATTTGTGTGTATAGGAATGGAAGATGACGGTTAACCCTAGCCTTGAACATGTTAAGATTGGAGTGATCAGGGAAACATCCTGTTGGGAGTCGTTTCCACAGGACAGTGGTTCGTGGTGAGAAGCTGTTCGAGTGGAGCTTACTTCTCACCGATGGAATACGGGGGGAATGTGGGTGATTTGCTACTATGTAAGTGGCATGGCGTGTTCTTGGTTTGCTCGGTGGAACCAGGGAAGCTAGTTCGTCCGAGCAGTTTTCGAGCTTAAGTTCCAATATGACAACAGTGCCCCATTTTTGGCCTGATTTGGTTCTTGTACAGGTAGAGGATAACAGAAGTAGTCAGGTACTTACTACAGCGGTACAGAAAGCCGACCATTTTATAACGCATCCTTAGCAATGGATCGTATGTGTGAGGCCCAACAATCTTTGAAAGCAGGATGCATCCCCGAGAGAACCTCCGTTTATCCCGATTGGTCGTAGTTCGGAGTAAGATCGGCGATAATATAACGTAACTAGCTTGATCTTCGAGACATTGAATGTAACCAGCCAGTTTTTACCCCATTGGGTAATTTGTGCAAAATCGGAAGAGGGATCAGTTGCTAATCTCTGACCATGGAGAGTTTTAAAGGTGCGACGTATATCGTTGTATCATCGGCATAGATGTTTACAAATAATCTGAGTATATTCTTTATGAAGATCAAAAAGAGAATTGGCCCGAGGGGACGGTTGCTCTGACCTTCAGAGCTCCAGAGGACTGACTATTGATAACTATTTCGTAGACCTAACTGTTAGGAAGGATTTTATGATCGAGAAGACACTTCCAGTGATTCCATAACTGAATAGGTTGTGTAGTAAGCCTTTGTGCCACATCTTGTTAAAGGCCTTTGAGATATCCAATGCTATGGTCTTCGAGGTGTGTTTGTCGTCAAGATCCTCACTGATTCTGTGAGTGATAGTAGTTAGGATGTCGGCAGTGCATGGGGTGACCGAAACCCATACTGCTCGTCGATGAAAAGGTTGTTCTTTTCTAGTTGCTCGATGTCACTCTTATTGATTATGGCCTGAAAGAGTTTGCTGATGATACTGACGGGACTGATCGGTCTGTACAGGGAGTAGGAAGATCGCACGCCCTCATTCTTGAAACCCGAGAATACTTTTGACACTTTCCACCAGCTTGGGAATTATATCTTCTTCAAGTAACGGTTGAATAATTTGGAAAGGATTGGGATAATTCCGGGTTGTTTTTCGTATGGACAACCACTGGAATTTTTTTTGAACCGGTGGCGTTCTCTGTGCCACACCTTGTCAAAGACCTTTGAGATATCTAATGCTATGGTCTTCGAGGTCTGTTGTCGTCAAGAGCCTCACTGATTCTATGAGTGATGGTAGTTAGGACGTTGACAGTGGATCGGGCCGACTGAAACCCATACAGAAGAGGTTGTTCTTTTCTAGGTGTTTAAAGAATTTTATGATTTCTTCCGGCGATCCCATAACTGTAGAGCTTGTGTAGTAAGGCCTTGTACCACACCTTGTCAAATCCTTTGAGATATCTAATGCTATGGTCCTCGAGTTGTATTTGTCGTCAAGAGCCGCACTGATTCCATGAGTAATCGTAGTTATGCCGTCGGCAGTGCATAGGGCCGACCGAAACCATACTGCTCGTCGATGATGAAGTTGTTCTTTTCTAGTTGCTCGATGGCACTCTTATTGATTATGGCCTGAAATAGTTTGCTGATGATACTGACGGGACTGATCGGTCTGTACTGGGAGGGATAAGATGGCATGTCCTCATTCTTGAATACCGGGCATACGTTTGACACTTTCCACGGGTTTGAGAAGAATTTCTTCTTTAAGCAACGGTTGAATAACTTGGTAAGGATTGGGATAATTCGGGGTTGATGTTCTTATGGACAAGCACTTGTCTTAATTGAAGTCAGGCTCTTTATATTCACTTACACGCAAACATGCTTGTGAAAGGCATGAATCCACCTCTTCTCCCCCATCTATGGATTAATTAGTAAAACGTGTATCTATAAAAATCATTATTATCCCCAAAAATTACTTAAAATCTAAAAGTATTAACTGCGTTTAAAGAACCTGCAAAATAAACTGTAAAAATCAATCTACAGGGTGGTCCTAAAGTTTTGTCACCCCAACCCTCTCTTCTAAGTTGTAGCAGGAAAAAGAAAATCGTATTATGAAGAGGTGACAAGACATTCGGACCACACTGTATTGTTGTTAGTAAAAGAAAAAGTACAAAATACTAATCACTAATTGGCGATACCAACATTAAACAAGTAGAGAAGTTTAAATATCTGAAAGCATTTTAGCAGAGGATGGAAAATACGACACTGAAATCCGAAGACTTCTTGAAATAGAGAAAGGTGCCTTCCAAAAGCTAAGCAAAGTATTAAGAAAAAGGAAAATTTTGATAGAAACAAAGAAAGAAAGAAAAGAGTACTGAAATATCATGTATTGGTCCGATTGGTGTCTGCGCTGAACTCTAAGGTACCAGAGAACTGACCATTGATAACAAGCTTCATGGACCTGCTTGCTAGGAAGGATTTTATGATCGAGAAGAACCTTCCGGTGATTCCATAACTGGAGAACTTGTGCAGTAAACCTTGTGCCACACCTTGTCGAAGGCCTTTGAGATATCTAGTGCTATGGACTTCGAGGTGTGTTTGTCGTCAAGAGCCGCATTTATTCTGTGAGTGATGGTAAGTTCGCTTTCACACTAATGCACTTGGGAAAAGTATGAATCCACCCCTTCTTCTCCCAGCTATAGTTTAAACAGCATAATGAAGCATAATGCCTTGGTTGGCAGACAGTCTAGGAGAAGAATAACAATGGATTGAAAACCGTAGAGAAAGCAACAGTAATGTCATCATCGCCTTCGTCTTGAAGGGATATGGCGTTTAAAACAATGCTTTGCTATATATTTTTATAAAGACTGAAGTGCAAATTATTTTTCTATAGGAATTCAAACTATTCTAGATTATTTTAATAGAAGTAGTTTGATGTAACTTTTGTTTCAAATCCAGAGCCTTCTCCCTCCTGTTTGAGGAAAACCTCCTTGATTAGCCATGTCCTTAGAGGGTTATCCGTACTCACCATGCTTGACGAATTGCGGATCAGTGAAGCCATTTAGATTATAATACCGAATCTTGAAATCCAGAATGTCGAAATGATGAAATTTGAAATCTCAAATGTATAAAAATTTCGAAAGATCAGAATCCCGAAAAATATTCTTTGGGAGAAATTGGAAGAAATTTTTTCGAAATTCCTTTACTTCTAAACATTTACAAAACAGCGTTTAAGTAGTGTTTATAAATTTGAAACATTCAAAATTAATTAAGAAATATAAAACCAGAATATATAAATAAATTATAATAAAATATTATGAGAGAAATGCCTAATATAGTCCATAAGATCTGGTTGGTTTTTACGATCATTAATCTTTTCAGCACGATAAAGCAAACATTTTTGTTTCTTTTTTTGGACAAGATTCTCCTCGAAGAAAGCGTTCCCTTCCGTTTTCTGTGTACTGCGGCTCGTTTTGAAACTCTCGAAGAATACAATAAACACCGACAAGCGCATTGCCTACTAAATTTTCCTATCTCCTCTGCCATATTCTGGTTTTAAATTTTTAAATAAGTTTTGAATGTTTCAAATGTATAACCATGATCTAAACCCTATTTTGTAAATGTTTAAAAATGAACATATTTTCCCAATTTCTTTCTTTTTCTTTTTTTTTTTCAATTTCGAATGTCCATATCTGTTCGATTTTGGATCTGAAATTTACAAATTATTTACAAACCAATTTCGAAAGAATTAATCAATTTATTTTTAAGTGACCATTTTTGTAACTTTAAACGTTATTTTTAGTGGATACCCTGTTTGAAATAGACGCTACGCTTATTGCTTCTTTTTTTTTTTTTAGTTAAACTGTGTATAACGCCTACCTGCC